GAATAATTATTTACAGTATTTTTTTTCTAAATCGAGCACATTCCAGAAGTCAATCATTTAGCTAATCCACAAACAAGCTAACAGTACGGCTCGAGCAGCCACAGGTCTACTTAGAAAAATTAGCAAATAAGCTTAAGTACTTTCTAGTTGTTAGACTACTTTCTAGCAAAATAGAAATCTTTTGTGTTGCATTCCTCACCACATCTTAAACTTTTATCTAAAATCATAGCTGGTTGCTGCCATTTCACATTCAAGTCACTCTAAAAACAGTTATATTTCAACAGTTTATGTTTCTTGATATTTTTCCCCCTTGTCAAAATTTCAAGCATTTTCTGTGGTGGAAGGGGGGAAAAATAAAATAAATCTTGTTTTTTTTTTTCCTTTTTGTTATTTTTGACAGATGCACCTGAAAGTTTTCAAACATGTGTTAGCTGTCTCACATGTCAAACTCCAGCTTTCAGTGCTTAAAACTAGATATGACAGCCAAAAAAACATCTTTATGTCAGCGGCGCTGGACACATTTCAAGGTTTGGGACTTTTTTTTTTTAACTTTCTGTCATTAAACATTTCCTTTAAAAAGACAACAAATAAGAGCACAGAAAATACAACTGAAAGTGTTTATTATTATGCTTATTAATTTTCTAAAATAAAAAAACTGTTGTCCTCTAACTGTATTGATTGTTTTACTGAAATTAATTCAGCCCTTTTTAAATGCTATATTTGCTTATAAACATCACCATGTTTACCTAAATGTAAATTGGCCTTAATGTGTAACATTTGCATCACTTACTTTAAAATAATTTGAATAAAATAGGGCATCATAACCTTCACCTTATGATGTATAATTTAATGTTTCTAAACTATCAGAATTAATCGTTTAAAGCTGTAATCAGGAGCAATGACTCGAGTGCTCTGAGTAAAGTTGGGAGGTGAGCAGCTGCAGCCAGGCACCYCATGTGGACCGGAGCCAAAATCATTTCCATATTCACTCATCCTAAATGAAGCAAAACTGTTAAATCTGACTCATTTGAAGGCTTAAAATGGTTTTTTATCACAGGGAAAATATTTAAAATACACCATTAAGATAAAATAAATTTAAATATGCCTGTGTGTGTGTGTGTGTG